TCACAGAGGGAAGGAACATCAAAGTCACAAAAAGTGGAGAGGGGGTACAGAAGAGTGATTCATATTTGTGAATGAGATCGACACGAAGGTGGAGAGTAGGATAAGGTGAGTATTGTGGAAGTGGTCGAATATGACATAGAGTGGGGTCATGTAGTTTGAAGTGAGAAGTCAACTGTCATTTTTTTAATTTTTTTGTCTCGTGTATACGTTGCCCAGAGTGCACCACGTGAAGATGTCAGTTTTTTTAATTTTTACTCCAATTATTCCTTAAATCTACCTTAGCCAAATTTCAACTCATGGTTATGCTTGACTGCTGAGAAAAGCGACCAGTCTAGATGTCAAAATACCTTTTATATTGTGTGTTTGGATTTCTATTATTATGCCTGCCATACTATCAGGGTTTAGACTCTAATTAAAGTGCACTTTTACTTTCTCCCAGAGTCAATGCCAAAGGAGAAGAGAACTTTCGTCCGCTGATTGAGACAGTTTTAATCGATCTTCTACGGGTGGCAGCAGATGCACCAGTGGAATGGCCTGCTGCCAGCCTCATCCTCTCCGTCTTTGGGCAGAGTTTTATTCAGCATGTGAATAATTCCTCTTCAACCAGTACTAGCTCTTCAAAAGGTCCCAGCTCACAAGGTAATTCTTCTTCCGGCCGCAATGCTTGTCCAAACACCCGTGCCATCGCTCTTGAATCTCTTATCACGCTGGCCGGTGGAATGTATCAGTTGGAGAAGATTCGCTATTCAACCAGAAAGACCGGATGTATTGATATTGTTGAAGTGAGGAGTGCACTGTCTGCTTTTCTTTCAAGTCCAATTCTGGGTTTGTACAATCTCACTTTGACTACCGATGATTCACCAAATACCATGGCTCCCGTTGATCATGTGAAGCAACGAGAATTTGCCTTTAAACTCATCTCTCGTCTTCGCTATACCTACTTTGATGGCCTCTCTTTGGTAAGATCGTGCTCTAATATTAATCGATTTAAATTCTGAACGAGAATAGGTGATGATTTGACCAAAATATCTCTACTCTTTAGTTCTTTTATGACTGTCGAAATGGAATTTGTTCATACTTCTTTGTTTGTCACTGCTGTCTTAGATCTGTTTCACCCCCCCCTCCCCTCCCCTCCCCTCCCCTCCCCAGTGCTAGCAAGTCATTGTGTTAAGTGACTTTAATTCTTACGTTTGCGCTGATGTCGTCGTTATTTTTCTTGTACTGTTTCGATAGCTTCTTGATCAATGTTGATTGTTGGCATCTAAGGTTCACGCGTGCTGCATTATAGCAGGGTTTTTCTTGTTTTAATAAGGGTATTTATTAAAATTTGGTTTCTTATTTCTCAAGTATGCTAAAACAGAGTACTTTATGACACTCATCTAAGATGCTTTCATTCTCTCTTTAATTAATATGAATCAATGTATTTGTCTATCCCATTCAATTGAATCGGCATCAGAGTTCTATTAAAATGTATTCGTTGAGCGCCACGACAAGATCTTCTAGATGATTGTTTGACCGAAGCCTAGATTCAACCAGTTTACGAGTCTTTCTAAAGTTGCCCTAAAGACTATTCATAATTCACGTTCAATTTAATTACATATCAAGTGACTAAACTAAAAAATGGTTATAAGCTTACTTAATTTGGGGGTTGCTGTATGGTTCTTCTTATCCTTATTAAATTTAATCTTAAATGTGCTTATTTATGCGTCTTATTTGCAAGTTTCGCCTATTTCCTCTATGCTTTGTGCATGAATGTAGATGATTAAAATCGCGTTTTAAGCTAATTTTTCATTTTTTTTACATTTATTGGAAGCACAGGTAACAAATTATTGTAATTTTGTTCTATTAGTCACAAGTTTTGTATACTTCCCCAATTGTGTAGGAATGAGGCCATTGACGGGTAGACGATATTTGTAAATTTCTTGAACTATTTCAGCATAATTCTGTCATTTATTTTTTCTGAATTGAGTTATCTTCTCCCTTTGAATAGGCCGCGAAGCGTTTTCATTTGATGACCTGGCTTCACGAAATCAATCAAGAGTTATCTTCCACAAATCCAGGCCCCAATGATGAGCGGCGAAAACAACTTGAAGAGATGCGCAAGAACTTGCTGATCGAATTCGCCTCCACACATCACAGCATCTCGGGCAATGCACCATGGTTGCCACCTCCTCGAGGAGCTGGTGTTCTCTCTGCCACCGGGGGTCCAATGAGTGTCAGCGGCGGGGGTGGTGGCTGTAGCGGGGGCACCCGAGCAGGTCTTATTAGTCCTGCAGCCTCTGAACCGAGTGTTGCTTGGGGCTCCGGTCCACTGAGTGACATCAAATTGGCTCTTTATACTGGCTATGGCATGGGGGTGGACTCAAGACGCAAAAAGACGGCACGAGCGCATCGACTTGCAACAAAAATTGCTCCCACCTACTCGCATATACCAATTGGATTCGATGTCCTCTATATGCAGATTGTCAAGGTATGTTCTATTCCCTTCTGTTCTTACTTTTAACTAAATGCAATTTCCATTCATTCTTTCATTTTTTTCTCTTTTATTTGTGTCCTATATTTTTATGTGAATTTTCCATGAATATTGTTCTCGTTGTGTAATAATCATACATTTTTCATCACTCAGAGGGAATAAGCATTTTGGAAAAAAAGCATCTATTCTCAAGAGAGAGAGGGAGAGATGCCTTTAGTTGTAACATTCAATGTTAGTACAAAAACGAGAAAGAAGTGCTGTCAATTTAGTTAACTGCAGTGGACAGGTTAAGGTGTGGCTTATGTGCTTAGTCTTTATAATTAGATTTCGTAATAATGGTTTATAAAACGAGTTTTGGTTGCGTGAAACTTGGTTGCTTTGTGTGAGACTGCAGCACAACTTGAAACGAGCATTCACATAAATGCCTCCTCTAATCTAGATTTATGTGTACGCAGGTCATCAGTAAACTTCATATTTCACAGAGTGCTTTCTTCGATTGCACAGTTTAGCCCTCGAAAGCAACTCCTGGACCACAACCTTGAGTGCCTTGAAGACCACTTAACGTAAAACGCTCTTTTTTTGAGGTCGCAGGCCTTCTTATTCCGTTTTCTTTTTTGATTCGGTTTTATGGCCCTCATCATCCATATTCAGATATTGGCTAGTGAAATTCGAATCTGCATGTAGTTTCGCTCAATGATTAGAAGAGGAATTTCCACTAGATTCTCTGAATACATCCGTCAGGTTTGCTAATTGGCGTTCGAACACTGTCTCTCAACTTTAATTGAATTGATTTTTGTTCTCTTTAGAGGAAGTGTTTTCCAGTTCTCTTGCAGAGATTAATGAGTGGTGTCACGGAGTCTCTCTTGTCTCCTCTGTAATCTGATTTCACCAGCGCTGTCAACCCTTTCTACTTACTAGGTTTTCTCCTATTGGTCACCGTACCTGTGACCTATTGGTATAAATTATCAAAATTGGTTCATCTATAAGGTTAGGTTGTGATTGGGGCCTGGGTGACATTTTGTTCCTTATGCTACAACTTGATGAAACTTCAGATCGAGTTGTAAAGTTTACATTGATATATCTGTTCAGACTTGAGAGTCATATAATATTTATTATTAAATTGCAGGCTTTATGATAGTTATCATTAGCCCTTTATTTGACTTTGGGCTTCGCACAGTTGAGGAACACCAAAGTCGCAAATAGTGGAGAGGGAGAACAGAAGAGTGATTCATAGGTGTCAAAGAGACAGGCACAAAGGTAGAGGTAAAAGGTGAAGTGAGTACTGTGGAAGTGGTCGAGCATAACTCACAATCGGGTCATTGCAATTTGAAGTGAACTACCCTTGGCGCGTCACATGAAGGCAAGTCTATCGCGCACCCCGAGCCATATAGTTTAAATTGAGTTTATGCGCCCATTATGCACGTATGAAATGGTGTTCAGCGGCTATGTATCATTTTGTGATATCTCATAATGTGTTCTGTTGCATTTATTGTCATCTTGGCACTAACACACGCACACAGACACCCATACACACCGGCACACACACTCATTAGTTCATTCTTATAGAAAACTCCTTGCCGCCGACGTCGTCGCCATCTTGTTCTTGTTTAAAGGGGGGGGGGGTGTGCACACAGGCACACGTGCTTGACATCCGTGCCAAGAGAGAGAGAGAGATCAACCACAACTCTCTGTGATTGGCGTTTGACATTGACAAAATCAGTCAAAGTTATGACCCGGTTTTTAAGAAGTCTCCACATCATAATCTCATTATATGCCCTTAGTTGAATACGCTGTTTGAACAAAAGCGTTTTTTGCCTTCTCACTGCAAAAAAAGTGTTTGTTATTGCTGAGGTCTGCATGAGAGTAAGTAAAAACTACTACTTGATCGGACTTTAATTAATTAGGTTCTGCGTTCAACAGGATAGGTTGGTGTTTAGCTTCTTTATAGTCATGGCTTTAGTGCTTATTGGGGTTTGCGTAAATGATGGTACTTAGAACGTCGTACTAAATGCATCTTTACTCTGATTTACATGATTGAATTATTTATTGTTACAAGAATCGGAGTATTTGAATTATGTGTGCAAACCAGCATAAATGTAGGCCTACTTTTATTGATATCTCGAATTCCTTTTGTAAATATTGGTACCCAGTTGTTGTCCATTTTGTCTACTACATCGAAATTTCTTCATATTTAAATAAATAAATAAATAAATGTGAGTTATTTTTTATCGTACTCCGTTCCTCATAACTTGGGGGCTCTGGTGATTTATCGGGCATCCAATTTCTTTGTTTGTTACATTTAATATATGCTCGAGATAGATTCCTACAAATTTTGCGTTTTTTTGTCCTATTTTGGCGATCTATAAATACTACCTCATTAAAAATCGCTGTTAGAATTACGCTCAAAGATTAGTTTAGAGATAGACCCTTTAATAAATTCAGAAACCGATATAGGCCTAAAACTTTGTCTCAAGTTAGACCCGGAAACTGGGAGATTATAAGAAATTCAGAGATAAATAGCTGAGGTGACTTAAATATTTAATAAGGGTATTTAGAAGTCTATTATACATTTTCTTTTTTTAAATTTAGATTATGAGAAATTTTTGCTGCTAGCGATCACTTCTCTGACCCCTGTGCTAATGAACCACATTGTGGATCTGTAGTTTTTTGCTGAAATAATCGCTCTTGCTCAGAGTAGTAACTAAATGATCATTTAAAGTGCCAGAATTGAGCTAAAATCGCCTCTTTACATCCTTCTTGAAATTGTATTGATCGTGTATAATTTGAATAAATGTTAGCATATACACAGTGTCCTTACTTGACCTTAGAATCTCTGATCTACTCATCTTTTCAACTGGAGTAGGTGTGGCTAAAGATGGCTTATGACTGAAAACTCGCGGTAAAGAATTCATTCGTGAAAATAAATGGGATGAATATAATGTAACCCACTCGGTTTTGTACTTTAGCTGGTTCACGATCCATCCTTGGCTATACGAACTCGGGCTATTCGAGGCCTCTCAACTCTCGTTGAGATATACCCCGAATGCATTCCAGTGCCAACAATTAAGGAGGAGAATTCGGGTAATCTCAACGCCTCTGATCTGATTTCAATCATTCCTCTTCGATTAATGGATAACTCACCAATGGTTCGAGAAGCTGCCGTTGAACTAGCTTCTCGGTTGGTTACAATTCCAACGTCTGGAAACTATTCAGTCTTTCTCGCTAAGCTTTTTAAACATCTGATCAATCGGGTTCTTGATCTACAGATCAGTGTACGAAAGAGGGCTATTAAAAGCCTTCAAAATCTCCTGCTTCTTAACCAACATTCCGATAATCCAGAAGAGACACGACACGCATCACAAACAATCATCCTCTCTTCTAAACAGAACTTCGAAGCCTGTGTTACCCTTCTAAGACGTTCAAATGATGAAGAATCCATCAAGGTATGTGGTGGATTGGTTTTCGTTTTGGTTTGCTTTGAACCCGAAATCATGTCATTTTTTATTACCCGAGCAGAAAATCGTAATGGAAACATTTACTTCTCTGTGGTTCACTCCTCTTTCAACGTCTGATCCTTTGAAACTGGCATTACTTCTCGAAAGACACGCTAGAAATATCTGTGAAACCGTTCTACATGTCCGCAATCGAGTTGCAGGTGTGGTGGAAGACTTTATGAAGTCGGTAAGTTCGGGCGGGATTTAATCGCCTGAATCATTCACACGTATCCCTCCTCTCTCAGAAACGCTCGGCTCTCAGAACGTGGGAAAAAAAGGTTATATATATGCATGCAGTTGGTAAACTTCTGATGATTCACTCTTTCTGGTAGTTAAAAGGCGTTGGAGACGGAATTTGTCTAATAATCTCGTCCTCGTGCGCGCCGAAAACTTGCATTACTATGTTCACAGGGATGAGTTTTTTTTCACTCACACGCCAAGGAAGCTCTATCACTTTCTGACTTTGTCTGGCTTTTTATACCCTGATTAAAAGACTTGGTATTTGCTTGTCTCTTGGAATGAAACTTCAATCACGCGTTAAGAGATGCTTCTTGTGTTAAAATGCAAGTCTTTGTGGTTGCAATTGCGGCGCTTATGCCATATTAATCTAATGATCGTATCTCGTTGTCTATGCGGCTTTTATTGCCGTTTTTAGTCTGATCCATAAGGATCTAAGGTGAATTCCGCCAGCATGACTAGCTGCTTCCACCCAATTTTCCCTCTATTCTTTTTTTTCGTTGTTGAAAAAAATGTGTTTGTTTTACCTGAATGTTAGTTTAACATTACTTTTCACAGATTCTCAACCAAGATGGACCGGAAAAGGCTGCTCAAGTTGACGCCGCTGCTTCGCAAATTGTTGAATTTTTGGTCAAAATGATTCAACGACTGCACAGTGAGCCCCATTGTTTCGCCTCTTTTTTTTAATTAATCACAATTTGCTCCGTGTTTTAACTGATTTTTGTTGCGCCTTATTGCCAATTCATGAGGCTTTTTTGTTGTTGTTGCTTTTAATCGATAAGTCACTGCAGTAGCGCATGGATGATGCGATGGATTTGATAAACACCTGCAACCTATTCTCGCCTATTCTATTCATATATTTTTATTCCACGGTGTAATTAGCCGAAACAAATCGATTATCCATCTTATTTAATTGCAAGCCAACTGCATCTTTTTTTTGTTGGCGAGAAGTTTGGCTAATCTAATTAGCTGGCTCGCTTGCTCGCTCTATCTATCTATCTATCTCTCTCTCTCCCTTGCTCTCCTTAGCCGAAAATTGGCGATTTCGCGGAATTATGAAGTTGAAGTTGAACTTGCAGCGCAATTCAGTTAATTACCACTTAACTAGTAGTGCATGTGTTGTACCTCATGTGCGTTTGTAAATTACTTCTAATCAGGGCATTGCTCCCCCCCTCCCCCTTCCCCCCCCCCTATTATATGCTAACAATACAACAGGAGTGTATTTACTATGTTTTGAATTTTATTTATTTATTAGACGCGAATTGGCACGTTTCGAACTGCCAATTTCATCCGAAGCATAATCGAGAGAGCGAATCCACCACAAAACCGAATTGTGAGTGTTCTGGTCAACCAGCTGATGGGTTGTCTCCCTCGAATACCTTCCTATTGCTCAGCATGATAGCCAAACCTAGGCCGCAGTTGCTTCTCCAGCATGTACCTTTCATCACAAAGATGATCACCTCAATTATGCCACCGAATAGCGGAAGTGTTCCCGATGGAAACGCTCTCTCCTATGCCATTGAGATTATCGAACCTTGTTGCTTCCAGGTTGCCTCTAAGGGTGGTACCAACTTGAGGTATGCGTTTAATTCGTGTAATGAATGTCTGTAAGTTTATTACGAATATTTTACCTAAATTCTTTCATTACAGTCAACTGTTTCCTAATGGCACCGTCTCGTTGGAAGATTGTCTTGTCTACCTACTTCAGCGTCATTGTCGAGTCGTTGTGGACGCTTCATTGTCATGTCTAGCAACTATTGTTAATCATCTCACCAAAGATTATACTCGGGTTGCAGTGTGCTTCGCTAATTTCTATGGCAAGTTTTTTCTGTCCTGTATTCGTGCTTCTTCTTTACATCCGGCATCACCATATATACGGGTTTCCGAAAGAACAATTGTAGTAAGAGGGCGTCTGGAAGAGTACAAAAATTGGTGTTCAAGGTCGACGTAGTAATTGAAATCTGCTGCGTGTTTTGAACACTGCTATAAATTGTAACTTCCCTTCATTGGGTGGAACGTTGGAAGTATTTAAATATTTTTTTGAGATTGGCTAATAGTTCCCAGAATGCCGAAATGAAATTACAGTTTCGTGTCATACACATCTTTTTGGCCCCCTTTTAATTCACCTTTTGATTTTTTTTATTTGCTTTAATGACCCTTCATTTGGTTTTTTCATTCGCCTCAGATTTCAATATGACTAAAAATTATGTTGCTACTGGCAGCCTTCTTGACTTTCTCCTAGTAAAAACAGCTACCCTCAGTTATTTGGCTTTACTCTTCTTCACCCTGTTCATAGTCCACAGCTGTCATTTTGTGTGACTGTTCTTGAGGAGACCAGTATTTCTTCTCTTGACCATGTACTTGGCAATTTGTCCCTCTTTCTCTCTCTCTGTCTAGGCACTGGCCTGAACGGAGTGATTCCATGCCTGGTGGAAGAATCTGCTTTGTTCAAGATACGGCGGTCTTGGGGAGGACTTTTTCTGCTTTTTCCCTGCCCTCCCCCCACCCCCCTCCTCCCCACTATCATCATTTACCATCAATGACAGACGAAACGTCAAAATAGGCGTCTCGCTATTTTGAGTGGGAGAAAAGTGAGAGAGTAGCCTTGTGCGTGGTCGGAGAGATTTCAGAAGTTGCTTCCACTCTGCTGTTAGCTTGGGAATTGGGTATAAAATGTCGAGCACTGTTCACTATCTCGATGGCTTCCTCAAGGCTAGTTTTATTGCTTTTTCTGCCTCTGGGACTTCTTGACTATCTTTCTCTGGCACTTATTACTCCGAACTTCTATCTCTCTCTCTCTCTGTTCTTTTCTTACCGCTGCACATGACTTATCTGGTGATCTTTTCTTCCCCACTCTTAATGAATTGTTCTCTTTTTATGTGTCCATATTCTCTCCGTCTACTGCTCGTTTCCTCCTTGAGGTTTATGCTGCCTGTGGGAGATTAAACGATCTTTTAATCTTTCCATTAATGAGTGTCCCATTTGTATGTTGTGAACAACAATCTTTCTAGTCTCTTGGCGTTTATTTGTTAGAAATCATACCCTTTGAAAGGCGCCGTCAAGCAGAAAGCAATTTGAATCTGCATTTTTATCTGACTGCACTTTTGTTATTTAATGCTCAAATTAGCCCTAATCTGCCTCTCCTCCCTCTCCCCCCCCTCCTCCTCCTCCGCGCTCTCTCTCTTTCTCTCTCTCTCTCACTGCTTCGGGATTTCCCCTCCTGTTTTTTTCTTAAAGTGCCTTCTGCTCAATTTTCTGCCACCTCTAGCAGAATTATGGAATTAAAGAGTATTTTCCCAAAAGAATTACCATTTCTAGCAAAAGGCTCTTTTTCTCCGCAGTAACAAAATCACTCCCCCCCTCCCACACCCCCACCCCCACCCCTCCTTATGCCATTTTCCGAATATTAACCAGATAGGTTTATGAGCTTAAATAACTTCGCACTTACCATTTATCTTGTCTGCTTATTTAGAATGTCTCATTCAAGAGAAGAAACGAAAGTTACCCGTAATCAAGCCTGTATCATCTTCGATGTCAAGTTCCAACTCCTTGTCTGTTCGTTCCCATTGGCGTGCTCGACCAAAGGTTCTTCGAGCTGTCTACACAGTTGGTCTCATCTGCAAACTCTTCTCACTCCAAGATCTCGCCAACGCTGCTTTCGAGCTTGTCAATCTGCCCAAAGGTGACCCTCGCTTGCCACCGGATGCCAATATTTCCATTCTTTCTCATCAGGTATGTTGCCGATGTATTTACTACCGTTAATTAGTAAATCCTAGTAATACACGTTTTTATAACTTCATTATTGTCTGCATAAATCTGTAGAGTCTACCTTGGGTAAGCTCCTTAACTTATATCCAATCCTCTTATCCCTCTTAAAAGTAACCTCTCTCCTTATACCTAATAATGTCATCAGACTTGAGCACTATCGCACTGTTTTGTGATCATACGACATGCTTTCTTCTCTTACAGGCTTCAAGTGGAAAGAATAACCGGGATGAGGTCTTCAACACACTTATGTTCTTTGCGGAAACCGCTCTTCTTTTGAATGTGGATGAGGAGACAAGGCGAGCTATAAATGCGGCCGGAGGGTATGATGTCGAGATGGCTAAAAAAGCGATCGCTGGTCTTTCATTCCTAGCCAATCGGCATGACTACCTCTTTCGTTCTTCGAGATTGCAGGACTTCTTTAAGAGTATCCTAAGCGGAGTGAATGCTGCCTTTCCGAAGGATGCGGTGGCAGATCTACAGTGCATTGTTCTAGATTGCATCAATAACTTCCTTGTAGATGAAGAAAAGACTGCAGCGGCTAATGATAGCAATTGTAAGTTAACTCACTCCTTCATTGACTATCATTTTGCCAAATTCAGTGGTACGGTTAAGTCAGACATATTTGTGTGACGGTTCTGGTTAGTTAAATGACCACTTATTTATTATTTATAGGATTAGGTTGAGTAAACGATCTTTTCATCTTGCGCAGTCACTTGCAGTGCCTCTGGTTAAGAAGTGATTTACCACATTCATCTCTCAAAATGGCCAGTAAATGTTGAGTAGTCATTTGTTTTTTGGAATTTTATGGTTAGCCATAGCAAATTGTTGATATAGTATACAAATTTTTAGCTGAACAAGAGACGGCACTACTTCTAGATCCGAGTGTTTTTGTTGGGGGAGGGGAGGGGGTCGGTTGGGTAATTCCTTATGAATGATTTCTGCAGATGTTCTTTCTTTAGTGCTTGGCTGGATAATTTATTTCAGTTTTTTTAACTCTAGATATGATCTACTTAGTCAACATTGAGAAATGAATTCCTTGACACAATTTCACCTGTAATGGCTTCTGGCCTCATATTTGTATATCTGCTAACCTGTCATTGTTACTTTGGGTGCTACACTTCACTTCCCTAAGCTTTATTCCTCATGCCGGTTCTTTTTCAACCAACCACTTCTGCCTTTATTATTTGAAGCTTATTTTCAGAAATTGAGCATTTTAAATCATTCTCTACACGTGCCTTATGGTTATCTTCCTTGCTATATCGAATCGTTTCATTTTCCTTTACTATTAATCATATGCAGTCAGGTTAACGGCATTTATCTGACATTTTACTGCCCTACTTGCATGAAATTTTGAAACGATCGATTTTTTTTGCCTTTTTTCTTTAATTAGGGTCGTCGCAGAGCAAACAGGAATCTTTAAAAGTCTTGGGCGATACTAGAGATGTGCATGGAAGCACTGTGGTGCAAATTTACCTTCAAACCGCCCTGGAACATTGTGTAACTTCGGCATCAACCACTGTGCGTACAAAAGCCCTCACTTTAATTTCCACAGCCATGCGTCAAGGTCTTATGATGCCTTTTCCCTTCATTGCCGCTCTAATTTGTCTTCAAACTGATGTGGAGAACACAATCAAATCTCGGGCTGTCATCCTTCTTCAGGAGATTGTTCAACAACATTCGGGTTTCTTGGCGGTGAGTTATCGCAGTCATTCATCAGCGCGTGCTAGAAGTTCACTGTTTGTTGTCGCAAATTAGTCCTTTGGACATATTATTGAAAATTACTCCTGCTCACCTTTGGATTTCAGAATCAAATATTATTAATGCATTGAGGGGGAGGGGGGTGGGTTTCTTGAGTATCTCTTAATCCAATTCTTTCCTTGAATATTGAGTATAAAGTTCTTGTATCCATGACGGTAGTTTACTGCTTTTTTACTCCCCGACCAATTTCATAATCCGCATTTTGCGCAAACAGATTTCCTCCTTTGGGAAGTCTTCATTTGTGCAGTGTCGTGGGCATAGCAAAATGTCAGTGAGTACTTCGTGCTTTTAAACCAAAGTACGGGTTCGCTTAACATTTATTTATATTAAATAGCAGGCTTTATAAAAGATACTATTAGCCCTCTAAATGACTTCCAATTTGTCAGAGGGGAGGTACACCAAAGTCACAAAAACTGGAGATGGGGAACAGAAGAGTGATTCACAGCTGTAAGCGAGAGAGAGAGAGAAAGAGACAGGCACAAAGGTAGCGAGGAGGACAAGGTGAGTACTGTAAAATTGTGGAAAATGGCATAGAGTCAGGTCATGTTAGTTTGGAGTCAGAAGTCAACTGCCGGCTTATAGACTTTTTGCCCAGAGTGACCACATGGAGGTAAGTCTATCGCGCACCCCCCGCCCTCCCCAGTTCGCTTAATATTTGCCAATCCTTTTTGTCTCTTACTCCAACATCCGAGCGTGACTTGTAGTAATTTCATTCTTTGAATGATCTCGCGCGGCATCTTAAGGAGCGGGCGTGTGGGGGAGGGGGGGGGGAGTTGAAAGTATTGAGGGCGGATTTTCTTTGGGGGATAAGCGTGCAGTCACGCGAGTTTCTTTTTGGCAATGGATTTGTTCAGACAAATTCCGCTTCCTTCGTTTGATACTTGGGCAGTGAATATTAGAAATATTGAGTAATGGTTTTAGATGTATATTTGAACGATATGAAAGTCTATGCATTTGAAATTTCCTCTGATGATTGACTAATAGTTTCATCCGTGGCAGAACTGATTGGGATTCTTTCTTCGAATGACCCCTCTTTTCGGGTTGGTTCAAGGTCATCTTGATTAGAGAGTAGTGTCATACCAATTACTCTCTTTCACTCCTATTTGAATTAGCGTTGTCCTCGTATTCCCCCGATTGTATGCAAGGATTGCTATTGAACCTACGACCTCCGATTTATCCAGGATACAAGTTAACCTCTACGCCACCCCATCTGCACTAGAAGAAGCTTGTAAAGTCCTCTTTGAAGTCAGTTATTATTACTTAGTATCACTCATTTAGTGCATTACTTGTGTTGGATTCTTGCTATTCTGCTATTTCTCTTTACAGAACCCCTATAACATTTGACACTTGTGCCATCTTCGTGGTGGATAACGTTATTTCATTTCATTTTCCTCACTTCATGTTTAATTTACACTTCTTTCCCTATTTCCATAACATATTCCTAGAAATCATATCCATTTGCTGTAATCTTTTTCGCGCTGTCTGTTCTCCCATAGAATTGGGTCGTTTTAGTGTGTTGGGTGTTATTTTTGTCCGCGAAGGAAAATGATCGGCTAAAGTAATAAGTTGATGCGACAAATTAGTCACACTAAAAATTTCCTGGATTTGTTCTGCCTTCCTTGTGTGTCACCTAAGAATTCTACCGAACGAAAACCAAAACAAAGTCTTCTTAGGGGAAGGAGGGGGTTGGGGGGGTGGGTGGGGTTGTGATCTATCGATTTTCGAGAGTATATTCATAAAATTAGCTTACCCTCTCTGCGCATGAGCGTTTTCAGCACTTGTGAGAAATCAAGCACCTTTAGTGCTACCATATGATAATGTCAACACACACACACACAAGAAAGATTGTTATGAAGATAAAAGTTTGCCTTTTTGCATCAAGCGAAAATTTATGGCTTACAGAGGTGCCCTCTTAATTGGCATTTAAGATGTTTTTGATATGTTCACCTATACATTTATGTATGCTACTTTTTCTACATCAAAATTTGATGAATTACGTGACATGGTTACAACTGAATCATATATCTCGTTAAGTGCAAATTCAACGTTTTGCTTTTCCCACCTTCGCATTTTCAGTTGCAAGGCGTCCTCCGTTAATTATTTATATCAAATGGCAGACGTCTTGATGGTTATCATTAGCCCTTTAGTTGACTTCAGGCTTCACAGAGGGATGAGACAAACACAAAGGTAGAAAAGGACTGGGAAAATAGTCGAATATGGCATAGAGTGAGGTGATGGTATTTTGAAGTGAGAACTCAACTTCCAGTCAATAGACTTATGCCGCATGAATATACGTTGCCCAGGGTGCACACCCCTGTCCGTTAATTATAATTTCCTCGGCTGTAAATACACCCGAAAGACCGTCTGCTTCCTTCATTTCATTCTCCTCTAATTGTGTCCCTTTGAATCTTTGCGCCAACAGCATTGCCAAAGTGTAAACTAGTCGCGAAGCCGTTAAAAAGCTGTGTGCGGGTGGCCATGTCAACTCCCTCCTCTTCCAGCCAATCCAACCTCCCGTATAAAAAAGTCACCATTGGCCTGAAAATTGATGGTCTCCTTTAACTAGGATACAAGAAGGGGAGTGGGGAGGTGGGGGGGGGGTTTGAAAATAAAATTGGGACCTCTAAGAGAACACCGCTTCGTGTTTCCATATCGTGTGGTAGTTAAGACGCCGGTGATTCCGAAACTGGACAAGTAGAATTAGTAGTATTTAATGTTCTTTCCCGTGGCGGTATGCGGACGAAAATGCATAATCTCCGCTTGTTTGTAAGAGCGGCTAAGTAATCCAAGCATTAGTCATATAAAAAGAAGCTTTTTCCCTAATTCCAATTTTATTTAACCGGAATTAGCCCACTGGATATGGCTCTCATTGTGAATACGCTGTAGAATATTCAATCACACCAGGCTTATTCATTTAATGTTAGAAGTTGAACATCTTGAATGTGCATCAATCAATGCCAGTATGACTTTGTTCCATTGGATGCAAGTTGTTAATTAAGTAATTACCTAACTTACAAATCTTTTTTATGTTTGACTTTGCGGAATCTTCACTCTTAGTTCTTTGGTTGATTTCTATCTAATTGTACACGCTTACAGCGGGGCATCAACCTTGTCAACTTCAAAGGGCATGGTTTAGAGGGAAATCATTTGTTACGAAATAATTGAGCATATGGTGAATGATTTTTTTGAGAATACTTTATTTCAAGCCTAATACTTTGGCTTTATGTCGATTTACTTTATTGATTTGTTCATTGAGCAAATCTTATCACCAAAGACGGCTTTTAAGTAAATTGGCTTTTTTTTCGTTTAATATTTAGATGCAATAATTGCTTGTTAGGCGCCTTAAATGCAATACCCATGAGCGTGAAACGTTTACTTTTCTTTGTCAGGTAAAAACCAATGACACCTAATTTGGCGTTAGCTTGTAATGTTAAGGACATTGTGCATGCATTGTTGGTGTTTCGAATATTTATTTATTTATACCAAATGGCAGGCATCTTGATAGGTATCATTAGCCCTTTAGTTGACTTCAGGCTTCACAGAGGGGAAGGAACATCAAAGTGGCAAAAAGTCGAGAGGGGGGGGGGAATAGAAGAATGTTTCAAAGATGTAAAGGAGTCAGACACAAAGGTAGAAAAAAGGTGATGTGAGTACTGTGGAAGTGGGGTGATGGTAGTTTGAAGTCAGAAGTCAACTGCCAGTTAATAGACTTTGTTTGCTGTATGAGTATACGTTGCCCAGGGTGCACCACATGCAGGTAAGTCTATTGCTCACCCCGTGTTTCGAATATCATAACACCTTGTTTGGTATGTGAAATTCACACCCCGAAATTACTACGGTCATTAAAAAAGCTGGGGCGGGCGGTGGGGGGGGGACTATTTGCGCTTATATTAAAACATTTGAAGTTACGCTAGTTTCTATTCATTCTAACAGCTTCTTCTTTTCGACTTCTAGTTGAAAGCTGCTCCGGGTATTCGAAGTGCATTCCAACTGCAGAAGATTATTGCAGCATCAAGCGGTGGCAATGACGGCCGTCAGGAGACCCTTATTCGGGGTGCGTATGTCAACAAGCCCATTGCGGGGTCGGAAAAATCTGATTCGACACTTGTGCGACCCACAGCTCTGAATCACCCGACCTACAGTCTTCTTCAGTCAAATAAGCATCATCGTCGGTCACTCATCTCAAATCTAGTCAATCTTTTTGATAACGATTATGTAAGATCTCGTCTTATCTAACTATTCAGTTTAGTCAGTGCTGGCTTCATAGTGTGTGCATTCGTCAGTTTGAGAGTATTCATTTTAATGCTTTGTAAGATCCTTATTCATAGCTTAAGGTGCTTTGTGCATCGGAGTTTGAGTGCTTTTCCATTATCCTAACCAGCTAAAAAAAGCTTCTAATAACGCAAAAGATGCGTGTAGCTTAAAATAGCTGATTTGCCTTATCTGTAACTTCAATCGTTATTGACTACCTTTCTTTTCAATTGCTCTCTAATTAAGACAAGGACTTGGCTAAAAATTGTCCTATGTTTGAGCGCACTTTTCCCACTTATCTCTTACTCGATATTACCTTATACTAGTTGCGATACCTTCGTTATCATAATCCTCGATTGTATCAGCGTTTATCTAAGTGTTTTAGCACATAATGCCATTTTGAATCTGTACAAGTGTTCGTCCTGGCTGTATGCATATTTTTGAAGCAAATCTGGCTAACCAATAAGAGGTGGATATGAGTGTCAAGCGATGCTTACTATTACCGGTGCTGCTTTGGCTAGCCTGCACGAGCGTGGGCATATATACATATTAGCAACTGTCGAATTAGCGCCGCTAATACTTTGGGTTGAAATTTCCTTTATCGCTCTTTGTTTTAACAAGTTAATTTTATGTGTACCCCTATGTACTTGTGATATGAGCTAATAGGTTTTGCCTAGATAGGGTTATCGATTATGTAAATGTCGTACACAATTGACTATTTGGTGCACTACTGTCTATGTATTTTAATTTATTATGTTTTTTTGTTATTGTCATTGATATCTCCACAATCAACTTGGAGTCTTGTGGCTTAGGTCTTTGGTGGGGTTCATAGCTGAGTGGAGGAAATCTTTCGCTTCACAAGTACTGACGGTGGCGACGAGCAATATTATTTCCCGAAAGCATGTACTTTTCGAAGTTGTTGTTGTGTTTTTTCTCTAACACTAACTGCGCATTTAAGCGGGAAGTGAAGTGAACTATTAATCATCATTTTTCGAGTTTGCTGCTGTTTTCTGAATTTTTTTTCAAAGCAATGGCTATCCTATTCCACCCCTTCCTTCGGACGTCCTAAATATGCCCTTTTCCAATCGTGTTTCGAAATGCTTATTGCCTCTATTTTATAAATGACCATTCTACTCGTGACTGCCTTTTTATTTAACTCTAGGAATGGCGGCTCTTTAAATTGTTTAGAAATAAAATAAATTTCACTTTTAATGCTTGAATAGCGATTGTCGGTGCATACTGTGTGTTGCTATTCCCTCTCGAAATCCTAAATGTCCTAGCATCTAATCTACTTTATCTGAATGATTGAGTATGTGAGGCGTGAGTCCACTGGTTTGATTGATGCATATTGCTTACTATTTGCATTTTCATCATAGAATTCGCAGTTGAGGTCTTCCTATGCCTCAGACAATGGAATTTCCTCACACAAATCGTCTTCTGTCGGAGTCAACTCAGCCAATTCTGACTCACCGTCCGGAGACAGCGGTCTTCAAGAGCTCGTTTTCATTTGCGACCAATTGGCTCATTTCCCCTACAAGACCGTGGATGAGATCTACTACCTGGCTCGAATACTAGACATTCGTGTGAGCACAATTGGGTCAGCTATTGCCCGTAGTCTACAGGATTGTCTTCTCTCCTCGGCACATCTTAAAACGGAGTCCGCTTATCAGGGGGATACTGAAAATGCTACTGAGCTACCTCCGGTTTATGATCGAAAGGTGAGTCTTTTTCACCTTACATAACGTTGATATTGAAGTTAAAGAATGCGGATTTGCTTTCGTAAAATGCGGACACTTATTTCAAACGGTCTGAAGACTTCCTGTCGTAGAGCTGTGGTTGTGAATGAAACTCACTCAAAATTTGTCTCATAACTCAAATGTCCCTCAAAGCTATTATACTCGTGTTTTGGTGTGCGGCTTTAGTTACCTAATGGGTAACATTATTAAATTATTGTTGATGGCCTTGAGTCTCCTACCTGGATAATTCCATCTACTTTAGTCTCTTTCTGCCTCTTTCATGGAACTTTTGCTGCCTTGGATTTTCTCAATGCTCTTGTGTGTACTTTTTCAAGGGTTTATCTTAAATTCCGCATTTGCAACTCCTTAAATGGCTTCTACGGCTAGTGAATGCATAATCTGCGTAGAGTCTTGCTTAACCCTCCCTCCCCTCCCCCTCCTAGTGTCAACACGCCTTAGTGTTTCTCTAGTTAGGCGGGAAGTTAGGATCAGTCGGGGGGGGGGGGGTGAGGGTAAGGTTGAGGTCAATACTTAGCCCTCTATTTAAAAAAGGCATATTAGAGGAATGCACAAAAATTTGAACGTTATTTGGAATTTGAGTCATATATTTATTGACTGGGGTTTCTACGATAATTACTCGAAGTTCTATAGAAGTGTCAGTGGCTTCCTTCACTTTAATTATCGAAGATAACTCTAGAAATTAGCCGTCTCGTTCATATAGGAATAAATGTTTCAGATTTTGTATATAGCTTTAACGAATACTGGTCTTTTCTTTCCAACCACTTCTACCTTTTTCTACCAAATTTAAACCACCCAATGTCGCACAAACTCTTTCATATATCCCTACATTTGCATGTTTTCTCCAAATTAAATCATTATTTTCTCCCCAGCTGACTGTGTTGTGGTTATTTTCCATCGTGAAACGGCTTGTGAATCTGATGGGCTTCTTTGCTGTGTCTGATTTTTCTCGAAATTTGCCAACCTTGTTCTTGTTGTGTCTGTGTGTGTCTTGTCGGCATTTATCTAATGAAGGAGTTAGAGGATCATTACTTTTACCAGAGTAATATTTGTTATTCGCATTTTCAGTCAATCGCCTTTTCTTGCCTTGTCAGTTACGGTCAAGTAACATCCTCCACCTATTGTCGTTATTTTGGCATCTTCTCACTCGAAATCGGATGTTAACTGGGTTGCCAACGTTTATCATCTCTTATCTCACATCGTGTGGGAAAATTTTTGCCTAGTAGGCATTAATCTATATTTATTTATATCAAATGGCAGGTGTCTTGATGGTTACCATTATCCCTTTAGTTGACTTCAAGCTTCACAGAGGGGAAGGAACACCAAAGTGAAAAAGTCGAGAGGGGGGGGGGAGGAACAGAAGAGTGTTTCAAAGATGTAAGAGACAAACACAAAGGTAGGAAAAAGGTGAGGAGAGTACTGTGAACTAGTCGAATATGACATAGAGTGGGGTGATGGTAGTTTGAAGTGAGAAGTCAACTGCCAGTTAATAGACTTTTTTGCCGTATGAATATACGTTGCCCAGGGTGCACCACGTGGAGGTAAGTCTATCGCACACCCCGCATTAATCTATATTGTAT